TTTCTTGACCCAAAGATGTCCATACCTCATAAAGGGATCTTAGAGTATAAACAATCTTGTTTACACATTTTGAAAACGTTGTCACATCCATTGATTAAATCCATAGAGGTATTTGGGTCTTTTGCAGATTTAATTAATTGGAGTAGAATCCCTTCTTTACATACATAAATATATACAGAAAATATTCAAAAAGAGTAGACATGGCATGATAGAGTAGTTAGACAGCTGCCCTCAGTGCCAGGAAGACCTGGGTTCAAATCCCTCCTCTGACACATAATTGTTGTGTGACCCTGGTCAAGTCACTTAATCCTTTATAGTATAACTAAAACTCTAAGGTAAGCAGAAGATTGACTCAGGCCCATGAACACCCATAAACATATATCGGAGCACACACAGGTGGTACCTACTCACATGGACACGGACAGACATACCCATATATGAGTATTTACATGCACACCCTTATGTGTGTCTACAAATATGCAAATACATGAAAACGCACAAGTACAAAGTGGATGAGGGATAGTGTTCCAGGCATGAGGGACAGCCAAAGGAGCATGTCCGGAGTAAAGAGATGGAGTAACTTGTTCATGGAATATCCAGGAAGCTAGCATCACTGGATTAAAGAGTACCTATTGGGGAATAAGGTAGGAGGCAGCCCACCAGCAGGCTATTGCAATGGTCCAGGTGTCAGATGATGAGGGCCTGGTGGTTGGGTTGACATAGATGCCAACAGCACCCACAAGTTTGTGGCAACTCTTGGGGAAAGAAAGAGGATCAATGAAAAAGGTTTTGGATCTTTAATTCCATTCCTCTTTAAGCACCAAGAGGCCAAGGCTAGCCTCCCTAAACTTGGAGCCTCTCTATCAATCACAGGACTTGGAACCTAAATCCTAAGAGATCTTAGATACCAGCTAGTCCATTTCCCTCTTACCCTTACTTATTTCAGTTCAGGAAATTGAGACCCAGAGAGGTGACTTAGTGACTTAACTAATGTCATCCAGCTAATAAGTAGCAGAGCTAAGATTTGAATTCAGGTCTTCTAATTCCAAGTCCAGTGCTCTTTTGACTGTACTATGATCCTGCCTCTCAGCCACAATCTTGGCCTCTGCCCTTCCCACCTCAAGCTCAGCCTATGTCCTGACCCCTCAGCTGCCTCCTTACAGGGGATATAGGAAGAGTACTGGGGTTGGGGGAGAAGGAAAGGGATAGAAATTGTGAGAGAGGAAAAGGCAGAGAATCAAAGAGATAGCTGGAGAGGCAGAGAGGTACACACACACACACACACACACACACACACACACACACACGTGTGCACACACACACACACACACAGAGGAGAGACAAAGAAGGACAGACAAGGAAAGAATAAAGATGCAGAGTGACAGAACATGAAAGGGAAGGAGAGAGATGGAGAGAGAAAGAAGGAAAAAGGAGCAAAAATACGAAGAGAGGGAAGGAAGACAGAGATGAAGGGAGAGAGTAAGAGCGAAACAACAAGAGCAGGGGTGATGGAGAGCCAGGAAAGGGAAAGGAGGAGGAGTTGGGGAAGGGAGGGGAGAGGCTAAGAAAGAAAATGACTAAGGACAGAGGCAGGCGGGAGGATAGGCGAGGAAAAAGTGAGGAAGAAGGAAGGGAGGGTCGGGAAGGGGGAGAGAAGGGAGGCCACGAAAGAAGACAGGAAGGAGAATGATAACGGGAGACAGGGAAGAAAATCGACTGGAAATCTCAAAGCACAAGCTGATTTCATTTGTCCACCTGGGAGTCATGAGACGGTAATGTTGGTCAACGTTCATTTTCTCCAGGATTCCTCCTGTGCGCGGCGCACACAGTCCTAGCCCAGGTCCCCCAGCTCCCATCCCACCACCCTCTTCTCCCCCTCTTCCTTCTCCCCTCCCCTTCCCCCTCACACGCGTGTGCGGCCGCCGCCGCCTCATTCATCTCCGGAGTCTCCGGTTGGCAGAGTCAGCTGGACAATTACCTAGCCACAAATCTGCAGTTCACAAAAAGCTGGGACGGCTGCCACTGAGGCCGGGGGGCTCTAGCTCCCCCACTGCCCCTTGCCCGGGGGCCCGGGCCCCTTAACTCAGCAGGGGAGCAGTACATCGACCAATAACAGAGCAGCCCAATAGATCAAAAGCCGAAGCAATGCAGTGCTGGCATCCCAGACCTTTATTCAGGTTTAATGAATCACCAACTTAAGAACTACGAAGTGTTCGAATCCTAGAACCTTTAGTAACTGTTAAGTGCTATAGTAGAGCGAGTTATTATTATTTTATAGAACCTTAGAATCTGAATTCATTCATCCATCCATCCACCCACCCATCGATTCATCCAACAAGCATTGATTAAGCGCCCATACGGCAGGCACTGTCCTAGGTGCTGGCAATACAGAGACAGAAACAAAACAACCCCTGCCCTCAAGAAACTTGTATTTTATTGTCACGAGGTCTTAAAAATCTAAGAAATTGGAATTTAACTCACAAGGAAGCAAAGAAAAGATGGACAGCTCTCAACACAACGCCTAGTAATTATTGTATAGGCTTTCTTGAAACGGAAATTTATTGCTATATATTTTGTCTTTTTTTTTGGCTAAGCAATGGAGTTAAGTGACTTGCCCAGGGTCACACAGCTAGTAAGTGTTATGTGTCTGAGGTCGGATTTGACCTCAGGTCCTCCTGAATCCAGGGCCAATGCTCTATCCACAGGGCCACCTAGCTGCCCCCTACTGCTATATATTTTGAATCCTCTCTTACTCTGCCGTGCACATGACATGTTTTTTCTTATTTCATATTTAAATTTTAATATTTAAGCTTATATGTTTCTTTTTTCTTTTATTATGTATTAAGTCTAAAATAAAAAAGATAATAAAAAACTAGAATAGGTTCATTCATTTACTCAAGATGAATTTTAAAAGTGCCTATTATATGCCTGGCACTGTGCTAGGTTCTGAGGAGGCAAAGACAAAAAAGAAAAAGTCACTGCCTTCAAGCTGCTTGCATTCAATTGTTACAGTATCTTAAAATCCTAGAACATTTTAAGACGGTAAAAATCAACGAATCACAGAATTTTAAAATAGCAGGATAAAAAGATGCTTTCTATGATGCTTTAAAGTTCACAAAGGGCTCTTTCTCCACAACAACCCTGTGAGGGAATTATGCCCATTTTCCAGAGGAAAAAGAATGGAACTTAGAGACATTAAGGTACTTGCCTTGCCTATTAGTACAATAAGCATGGGAAGTGGCATTGTACTGGAGTCTAGTGACTCCATGTCTGGGAGGGGTGTTTGCAGTATAAAAATGTTAAAAATCAACAAATCCTGGGAATATTTGTAAACGTCATCGGTGTCACCCTTCTCTCCACTCACAGCCCCACCCCACTGCAGACACTCACCATCTCACAAAAGCTTGCACTATGGAAATAGTCTGTATGGTTGGTCTCCCTGACTCATCTCTCCCCTCTCCAACCCATCCTCCTCTCCTCAGCTGCCAAAATGACTTCCCTAAAGCACAGATTTGACATGTCATCTCCTCCCATCCCTACTCACTAAACTCCAGTGGCTCCTTATTACCTCTGAGATCAAATAGAGAATCATCTGTTTGGCTTTTTAAGCCCTTCCCAACCTGGCCCCTTCCTTCTTTTCCAATCTTCTTATGCTTTTCTCCCTCCTATGTATACTACAATCCAGTTACACTGGTCTACTTCTTGCTCTTCACATACAACATTCCATCTCTTGACTTCATACTGTCACATGGGCTGTACTCTATGACTATAAGACTTTCCCTCCCCGCCTCTGCTTCCTAGCTTCCCTGGTTTCCTTCAAGCCTTAGCTCAAATCCTATCTTCTGCAGAAGGCCCTCCCCTGTATCCTCTGCAGCTAGACCCTTTCTTCTAAGATACCTTCCTTTATACTGCTTATATGTACATAGTTGTTTGCATGTTGTCTCCCCATTAGAAGGTGATTCCTTTAGAGCAGGGACCTTGTTTTTGTTTCCTTCCTTCCTTCCTTCTTTCCTTCCTTCCTTCCTTCCTTCCTTCCTTCCTTCCTTCCTTCCTTCCTTCCTTCCTTCCTTCCTTCCTTCCTTTCTTCTTTCTTTCTTCTCTTCTTCCTTTCTCTTTCTTCTTTCTTTCTTTCTTTCTTTCTTTCTTTCTTTCTTTCTTTCTTTCTTTCTTTCTTTCTTTCTTTCTTTCTTTCTTTCTTTCTTTCTTTCTTTCTTTCTTTCTTTCTGTTTCCCTAGTGCATAGTACAGTGTCTGGCACATAGTAAGTGTCTAATAAATCCTCATTGACTGACTGACTAACCTTTAAATAGGGGAAGAGGACAAAAGTTGGTTCTGAGATCAAGTTGGGGGAGAAGATCCTGACTCTCAGTCACTAGTCATCTTGGAAGCAAACCTCAATTGGTAAGGCTATTTAGGGCATGCCTGATCCATCCCTGTTATATATGGAATAAACTTATTAAACCATATCTGATCCCTGAGCTGAGAAGCATGAGTACAGTGGACACATATATGTATGTATCTTGGAGTGTATCTCCAAGGGGGTATCTAGAGAGTTAGAGGCAGTGCTCCCAGCAAAGTTCAAAGAGGTGCTCATACAATCACAGGGTTGGCTGGGATCTTGGAGGCTTTTATGTCCAACCTCTTCTTTTTACACACGAGGAAGCTAAGGCTCAGAGAGGTTAAATGTCTTGGTTACACAGCTAGTTAGTGTCTCAGGCAGTATTTGAAGTCAGATCATCCTGATTCCAAGTCCATTCAGCAAGCAAGTTTATAAGCATGAAGGGAAAGGGGCAGGAGTCCTAGCACACGGGCACAGGTGATGATGGGGCATGTGTGCATGTGTGAGGCAAGAGTCAAAGGTTTGTATGTGACAGTCACAGTCATGAGTGGGTTTCATAAATGAATGTAGAGAGTGCTGGTGTGTGTATATGTATATGTGTGTGTGTGTGTGTGAATCTATTTCTGATTTCCCTCCACTCAGCTTTCTGGGCACCGGCTCACCTGATCGATTCGGTTCAAGTAAACGAGCATTTATGAAGTGCCCGCCATGTGCTAAGTGCACTGTCCTAGGTCCTGGGGATTTTGACATTGTTGCTGTTGCTCAGTCCTGTGATTTCACAGATATAGAGAGCTGCATAAAAACAGAAAGAAAGAAATGAGTTCTTGCCTTCAAAGAGTTCATCTACTGGGTGGGTGGGGAGGATATAGTATATACAAGAAAAGCAAATAAAAAGCAATCAATCAATCATTAAACATTTATTAGGTTCCTACTATGTGCCAGGTTTTGTGCTATATTGCAGGGATACAAAAAAAGGCAAAGTAACTTCAAGACATAGAGAACACCAGCAAACAGGGAGAGGAAGAATGATCGATCAATCAGTCAGTCAATAAGCATTTATTGAGAGTTACATAGTAGGGGGTACAAAGAGAGGCAAAAACAGCCCCTGCCCTCAAGGACCTCACAGTCTAATGGGACAGACAACAAGCCAAGCATTGTAAACATACAAGAGATGTATTGAATACATGGAAGGTGATCTTAGAGAAGAGTCACTAGCAGTGGGGAGGGGAAGGGGGGCGGGGAGAAAGAATAGTAAAAGTCTCCTGAAGAACCTAGGATTTGAGTTTTGAAGAAAGCCAGGGGAGCCAAGAGGCAGAGATGAGGAGGTAGGGCATTTCAGGCATGAGGACAGCCAGTGCAAAGGCAAAGAGTTGGGGGATGGAGGGTTACATTGAAGAATAGGACAGTTGTGGGTCATAGAGTACATGAAGTGACATAAAAGGTAAGAAAACTAGAAAGGGTAGAAGAGACCTGAGTGTGAAGACTTTAAATGCCAAAGATTTTATAATTGATCCTAAAAGTAATAGGAAGGCATTGGAGTTTATTGAGTAAGGGAGTGTCATGGTTAGATCTGGGTTTTAGCAAAATAAGTTTGGCAGAGGAATGGAGAATGGACTGGAATAAGGAGAGACCAACCAGAAAGCTGTCCAAGCAGGAGGTGAGGAGGCGTCGCATCAGGGTTGTGGCTGTGTCAGAGGAGAGAAGGGGACATAGATGAGAGATATTGTGAAGGCAGAGACATGGTATTTGGTGACAGATTGGGTATGTGGGGTGAGAGAGAATGAGATGGATGACCCGTATAATGTGAGTCTGGCTGATTGGATGGTGGTGCCCTCAACAGCAATAGGGAAGTTGGGAAGAGAGGAGGATTTGGGGGGAAAGATAACGAGTTCAGTTTTGAATGCAAGATATCTATGGGACATCCAGTTAGAATGTCCTATAGACATTTGGTGATGTGAGACTGGAGGTCAGGAAAGAGATTAGGTTGCATAAATAGATCTGAAAACCACTCGTGTAGTATGGTGATGATAACTGAATTTGTGGGAGATCACCAAAAGAGAGAGTGTAGACAGAGAAGAGAAGAAGGCCCAAGCCAGAGCCTTGGGGGACATGCAGAGTTAGTGTGCATCACGTAGGTGAAGATCCAGCAAAGGAGACTGCAAAGGAACAGTCAGATAGATAGAAGAAGAACCAGGAGAGAAGAGTGTCAGTGAGAACCTAGTAAGGAGCTAGTATCCAGAAAAAGAAGGTGATGAAAACTGCTGATTGTTGGCGGCTTTGGAAACATTTGCAGTTTCATTTGAATGATCAGGTTGGAAGCCAGATTATAACGGATGAAGAGTGTGAGGGGAGAGGAAGTGTAGGCACTGATTATAGGTGGCCTTTTTCCAAGAGTTTCACCTCAAAGGGGAGGAAATACATGGAATGTGAGCTAATGAGCATGGCCTGTTCAAATGAGGACTGGATTTTCTTTCTTCTTTTCTTTTCTCACTTGGTTTTTTTTTTTTATGATGGAAGAGGCACGAGTATGTTTGTAGGAATTAAGGAAGCCAACAGAAGACAGGGAGAGATTGAAGATTAGTGAGAGAGTGGGGATGATAGAGTAGCAATCTGCTAGAGAAGATAAGATGGATTGGGATCACTTGTGCATGTAGAAAGAGGAATTTGCCTTGCTGAGGAGAAGGGTCACCTCTCATATGGGAAGGGGCTGAAGGAGTTAGTGAGGGAAGATGTCTATGGGATGGGAGATGAGGAGGAGGCGAGAAGAGGGCATTCTCCATAAGTGCCCTCAATATTTTTCTCAGTGAAATTTTTCAGCTGAAAGAGGAGGTGCCATGAGAAGTTTGAGGCAGGTTGAAAATATCTGGAAAAACAGATGGGAGTGGGATGGTGAATTGTTTAGGGAGGTGTAAAAGGATCACCTTGCTATAATAAGGACCCAGTTGTGATAATATAACATGAATTTATGGTGGGTCAACTATGCTTTGAAGATTGTGCAGGAGATTTGCCTTTGGCTACCAGGGTTTCCTCCTGCTTTAAAAGTTCCTTAATTCTGTTTCCAGGCTCTGACACCTCCCTTGCCCCCCCCCACCTCAGTCTCCTGGATCCCTTACCCAGTTTGTCACCCTAGTCACAGAGATTCAACAGCATAACAATTTCAAAAAACATTTATCTAGTGTCTGCAATATGCAAGACCTTGTGCTTCTAATGGCAATACTACTACTACCACTACTACTACTACTGATAATAATAATAATAGCATTTATACAGTGTTTTAAGGGTTTCAAAGCACTTTAAACATGCTATTTCATTGAACCTTCACAACAACTCCAGGAGGTAGGTGCTATTATTATCCCCATTTTACAAGTGAAGAAACTGAGGCTGAGAGAGGTAAAGTGATTTGCCCAGGGTCACAAAGCTAATAAGTGAATAAACTTACATCTTCTTGACTCTGAATCCAACTATCTATGCCTTGTGGATCCCTAGCTGCCTAGGAGAGTGATACAGACTCAACAGGGATAAGAATAATAAAGGCACAAAGTGAGAAAAACCAGGCCGGTGACCCATCCAGATCAGATAGAATACCTGTAGGAAACTCATCTAGTAACTTCGGACCTACATGTGGAAAGAGAAATTATAATTATAGCAGGCATTTATATGACACTTTACATACATTATCATATTTAAGCCAAATTGGCCTGGTCCCAGAAAAGTGCAAATTGGATTTCTGTGAATCAAATCCTGTTTCAAATATATCCAGGAAACCGGGCTACTTAAAGGTGCCCTATGGCAAAATCTTTTTGAAAATGAGCAATTCTAGGGAATCAAAAGGTCTGGCTTAAGTCTTGGTTCTCATACTTACTCATTGTGTGGCTTTGGATAAGTTCTTTTTCCTCTGTGGGTTTCATTTTTCCCATTTGTGAATTGAAGGTATTGAACAAGATGGTCTGAAGCCCCTTCTATCTCTGGGATTCTAGAGATGCACTCGGAGGGGATGTGCCAGGACTGGGGTCAGGAGATCTTGCTCTGGCACTTACCACCCTGTGACCTTGGACAGGTCACTTAATGTTAGAGATGTGATTCTTTATCTGTAAGAGTGTGATAATAAGACTTAGATTACTTACTGCCTTCTAAAACCTGTTCTCAGGAAATTGCCCTGTAAATCTGAAAGCATTTTAGAAATGTGAGCTGTTGTTCTGAAGACCCCTTATCATTAATCACAGAATGCCAGAGTCAGAAGGGCCCTTAGAACATAGACTATCAAAGCTGAGAGGGCACCTTAGAACCTAAGAGGGTTGGGGCTGGGAAGGGCTTTAGAAGATCAAATGTCAGCTCTCTGAGGAGACCTTAGAGCTTAGAATGTCAGGATTAAGCTGAGAAGGCTCTTAGAACATAAGAGTGACAAAGTTGGAACAGACTTCCAAACATACCAGATCTGGGAGGGCCCTTAAAATAGAAAGTGTTAGGGCAGGAAGGAACCTTAGAACATGCAATGCTTGATCTATAAGAGACCTGAAAAGTCCAGAGGTGTCGATTGCCTGAACCAGATGAAAATGTAACCAGGAAATGTTTAACAAAATAGAAAAAAAATGCAATAAAACTTAGATAATATTAATTTGTGGTTTTCTGAGTTAACATGTGGCCTATAGGGATTTGTTTCTAATCGAATTAGAAGTCATTGATGTAGTCCAATCCCCTCACTTTAGGGGTTTGGATTTAGGACTAGGGAGAGGAAAAGGCCTGTTCTAGGTCACACAGAAAGCTAATGTGGAAGCTTATGAAAAGATGTACTATCTGAAGGGATGTGTGTGGGGGGGTCTCCTCCTGCCCCTAGCCTGGGGGTTTGGTGGGGAGAAGATGCAGCAGAGACAGGTACAGGACTTATCCTTGGCCTCTGAACCTAGCCACAAATCATGGAGAGCAAACAGTGGTCTCATGCTTATAGACAGCAAATTCTCTGGCCATGCCAAAGGTTCAGAGCAATCCCATCAGGGTCATCACGGGTACTGAACAATAGCACATCTGCTAAGCTGCCAAACAAGGCCCCACCCATCCTTGCCAGCCCTAATATTATTACCTACTTCACTGAGCTAAGTAATATTATAGAATTACACATTAGGGCCTTATATTTCTGGGCGCGATAGGCCCAATCTATGCGCAATTAGACACTTCAGATCAGAAACATCCATCACAAAGCTGACAGAGCAGCTCCTTCCGTTACAGTAGAAACTCAGACCAGAGGGAAGATGGAGGAGGGAAGCGTGGGACAGACCCCGGCTCCTAGACAAGGGCAGCCAAGATCTGGATCTCCTCTGGAAATGTGGCCCATTGGGTAGGGTCAGGGGCGCTTGGAGCACTCTGGATCCTGAAACAGAATCCCCTCTGGGCAGTGCCCTGGAATGTAGAACCTTTCAGAACATCTGCTGTAGGAAATTAAGACCTTCTCAGCCCTCTTATATGCTAGAACTGGTGACCTTTTGGAACTTTGTTGCTCTTCAATTGTTTCAGTCGTGTCCAACTCTTCATGACCCCATCTGCAGTTTTCTTGGAAAAGATACTGGAGTGGTTTGCCATTTCCTTCTCTGGTTCATTTGACAGATGAGGAAACTGAGGCAAACAGGGTTAAATGACTTGCTCAGGGTCACCCAGATAGTATGTGTCTCAGGTCGAATTTGAACTCAGGTCTTCCTGGCTCCAGCCCTGGAGCTCTATCTACCATGCCACCTAGCTTTGGAATTTTATCTTTTCCTGAATACATCCCTTTGCCCTTTAGAGGAAAACAGACTCTAATGGCTCCCAATTACCTCCAGGATCAAATACAAAATCCTCTGCTTGGTATTCAAAGTCCTTCATAATCTATAACCTGGCCCCACCCCCAGTCTTCTTACACCCCAAGAGGTACTCTTCGATCTAGTAACACTGACCTCCTGGCTGTTCCACAAACAAGACTCTCCATCCACTGGCTCTGCAAGCCTGGAATGGTCTTCCTCCTCCACTCCAACTACTAACCTCTCCGGGTTTCTTTAAGTCCCAACTAAAATCCCACCTTCTACATGAAGCCTTCCCCAACCCCTCTTAATTCCAGTGCTTTCCCTCTTTCATTATTTCCTATTTATCCTTCATATAGCTTGCTTTGTATATATTTGTTTGCATGCTGTCTCCCCATTAGACTGTAAACTCCTTGAGGATAGGGACTATCTTTTGCCTCTTTTTGGATTCCCATCATTTAGTATGGTGCCTGACCCATAGTAGGCACCTAATACATGTTTATTGATTGATATCCCAGATACCTGGGAACAAGCAAGGAGGAGGGAAGAAAAGAAAGAGAAAGCAAAAGGAAGAGGCAGGGGAATGCATTTATTAAACGTTCACTATATGCCAGTCACTGTGCTAAGCACTAGGGATGCAAAAAAAAAGCGAGGGGGAATAGTCTCTGACCTCAGTCTAGTAGGGGGGGACAACATGCTAGTGGTTGTATACATAGAGGACATATAGTATACATGGAAGGGAGTATCAAAGGGGAGACAAGACTGGGAAGGAGAGAACAAAGCAATTTGATGTGGAAGTGTCCAATAGGGTGGCATCCACCTGTTGGAGAGGCTGAGGATCTCTTGAGCTCCCAATCTCTAAACTGCAGTGGGCTAAAATGATGGGGTATCCACATTAAGCCTGGCACCAATAGGGTGCCAGGGAGGGGGTGGTCACTAGATCCTTGAAGGAAGGTCAAACTGCTCAAGTTTGGAAGTAGAGCAGGTCAAAGCTTCTGTGCTGGATTATTAGTGGGACTGGGTCTATGAGAGGCTGCTGTGCATTATTCTGAAAGGTACTAGAGACACTAATTTCCCCAGGGTTGGTCTTTGTCAGGGAAAGGCCTGGCCTGCCATAGTCACTCCCACTCATCCCTCTTGCCCTGCCAGGCAATAATCTCACAACGGCTGCTTCTGTTTGAGAAGCCAAGGATGAGTAAGTAGTTCGCAAAGAACGGAGCCCTTCAACTGTGCTAGTGGAGGGAAAGTCAATAGAAGGAGGCTGTTGCCACTAAGCCTTCTGTCCCCTCCCTGGAGATGGTGGGCTGCCCAAGACCTCCATCCTTAAAGGGACAGCTTCTCTGAATCATAGATCTTCAAAGCAAGAATCCCTTCTTCAACATCTCACACGGCTGGCTAACCAGCCTCCATTTGAAGACCTCTAGTGATGAGGAGCTTACTACCTTTCCATGCAAGTCCATTCCACCTCTAGGCAAGACTGACTGTTAGGAAGATTTCCCTTACATTGAGTCTAACCTGCCTATAATCCTTCTCCCCCTAAACATTTGACCCAGGGCTGAGTACACTGTCAGGGGAAGCTCAGTAAAGATGTTCTGTGCTCTCATTCTGTCATAACCCGCCATCACTTCCTTTGCGGAAAAGCTCCCGCTACACCTTCAATTAACCCTGGTCCTGTCTCTGTATATCCTGTGTGCTTATTTGTTCAAAGACCAGTGTTGATCCTTCTCCCTCCAGAAAATCCAGTTTAACGTAAAATGTCAGACCTAAGAGTCCATCTATTTTAACTCCTTCATTTTTTCTCTATTATTTAATGATTTTTTTCTGTTTTATTAAGAACTTTAAAAATCATCAACAAACAAATATTTCATTAAACAAGGAAGAACAAAGGAGGTTGTATATGAAACTATGAATTGCTGTTATACACATTTTTGAAAGTGTATATTAAATCAATAAGGTAGTAACAAAATCACTCCATTTGTGCCTCCTTTGACATTTCTCTTGTTTGCTTCTGTATATTTTAACCCTGTTCTATTAACGCTCTTTTCTTTCTGTTTTTGTGTCTTTGTCACTACTCACTAACTGACCCTTTCCTCCAAATGGAAGCCCTCCCTTGTAACAAATAGTTATAGCCAAGAGGAATCACAGTAGGTGCTTAATAAATGCTTATATCCTCCCTTTCCCCTCCCCCCCATTTTAATGGATCATTCTCCTTAAACTCGGTGGTGCATTCAGTATTCTACCAGGAGTGAGGAGACCTGGGTCCATGTCCCTAGTTACCATATTCATACTGTGTGACCTTGAACAAGTCACTCAGTCTCAGTTTCCTCACCTATAACATGATCAGGTTGAACTAAATGACTTCAAAGGATCCTTCCAGCTTTAAATTCTATATTGTAAGTAAGGTCCCTTTCAACCACACTGGGGACCGTGGAATGTTAAGGGGCCCAGGAGAAGAGAGTGTGCTAGGTGGATCCTTCATGGAAGATTTGTGAGAGGACACAGATAAAAACCACCCGGCATGAGAAATAGCAGATGGATTGGGGTTTGGATACACTAGTGGAGGGTGCTGATGATCAAGTAGATTATAAATCCACTCAGGTGTGTCAAGCACTGTGCTAGACACTTCACAAATATCTCCTTTGATCTGCGCAACAACCCTGGGAAGTAAGTGCTATTCTTATCCATATTTTACATTTCAGAAAACTGAGGGGTAGAGAGAAAAGGGTCATACAGCTAGTAAATATCTGAGGCTGGATTTGAACTCAGGGCTTACTGAGGCTAGGTCCAGGACCCTATCCACTTTTCCACCTGACTGCCACTAGGTAGAGGAGAAAGCACTAACTAACCCTTTGGCAGTTGCACTGAAGGTGAGCTCTTCCTCAGTTTACCCCACCCTGCTCCAGAATTCTCCCCAACAGTGTTTTCTCAGCTCATGGCCACCAATATTGCAGGGTCTCTGTACCCCTGACACTAGACTTCAGTTCTTCTTTACACCCAGCCTAGTGCCCCCTACTCAATAAACTTCATTGGCTACCTATGGCTGCTGGGATCAAATAGAAAAATCCTCTGTTACATGTCCAAAGCCTTTTATAAACTGATGCCTGCCCCCCCCCACATACCTTTTCAGTCTTCTTATACCCCATACCCCACCTATTCCATGTACACTGCCATCTAGTGACATTGGCCACCTTTTTGTTCCTTGAACAAAATATTCGATCTTGCTCTGGTTGTCCCCCA